TTTTATATCTCTTTTATTTATAATTTACAAGATCTGAAATCAATCTATACGAGTAATAATTGACAAGCTGATAAACGGAACAAATTAACAAAAATTCCAAATAATAAATAATAAAGAATACAGCCAACGAGTAATATTGCCAATGATAAAATTAGCAAGCATTATGGATTGAAAGAACACGATGATTAAATAAAATATTACGCTGAAATGTCGTACATAATATTAAAGCGCAATCCACAACGGAACAACGATCCATTATAAAATACAGTGTAAGGGCTCTATTTTTAACGAGAAAGTCATCTCACGTGTCATCTCACCCTTGGGGTCCTTGACCCAATAGTTAATCGACATCGGGGACGCCTCGACGAAACATTCCAAGATCACGTCGGTCCCCAAGGGCGCGCCGACCAGCTGATTGGGTACGTGAATCACTGGCGGAACTGTAAATCGAAGTTGGAAGATATTGTTGCATAGCCTCGGCACGGCGGGATTCGACTTCTACAAGGTACATCGTACGTCCGATCCAACGGCTCGGATCGTAATCACTATTACTCACAATGAACGTTGATAGAAATACGTTTGCTGACCGCGGGCGGAACCCCGTTGCTGGCGATGCACAGATAAACCCCCATCTCGTTCCTCGAGATCTTCGTCAGTTTTAGTTCCTCGCCCGAAAATTCGGACACGATTCGGACTGAGAACAGTAGGCATTAAAATCGAATAAGACTGATAATCCTTGATACATAGTTCGTTGGCGCGCTCCAAAATTCGCGTCTATAATGTAAGATTTTTTCATTCTAAATGATAATTATAATTTTTTATTCTAATAAAGTTGATTTTTTCTTGAAATATCGAAAGGTTCGATTTACTAATTTATTTTTTACTGGGTATATCTATTTACTTCAATAATACATGAATATAAGATACGTTACTAATTTTCCACAAATCAGATATGAATTCAGTACATAATAGAGGTCTCAATAATATTTTACTTTTAAGCGAGTAATTATTACGCTAGTGAGGTTTAATCAAGAACATCTGATATACAGAGGAAAACAACTATTTATTAATTAATGGAGATAAATATTTGATCAGAATTATTCCATTTTATTGAACAAACACAATAATTAACACAGAATAATAATAATACATTCACTTTCTTATCTTATCAAAGCTAATTTTTTTCTAGAGATTACGTCAATTTAATTATATTAGGTATTCGTATATAATTAATTAGTAGAAACATTATAACTGACGATCAATTGTCTCTGAGTATTATTATTTAACGAAGAGCAATGACTATATATAGATGAACGGAAAAATAACGTGAAGTGAACGACCTATTACAAAAGCGACGGTCGATAATCGATAAAATAATAAACACGTTTAATGTTATTATATGCGTGCTAATTATGCTTTTCCAATATTTTATTATGGAACATGCAACGCACGCGTTTACATATTTTTGCGTATTACATTTTCTTAGTGTTGCGAATTTATTTATTTTGCATTTCAGTACGATTTTAAAAAGTTCCAACGGTAGTGTAAAAACATCCAATAGTTTCTCGCTTAAGCGCGCATGTTCCGACATCTGTGTGTAAATTAATCAAAAGAAACCTTTTTGTTAAGCGACACCCTCTACATATTGTTCATTCTGAATAAGTTCGCGAGTGTATTCAGATGCAAACAACGAAGTGGCGCACGTAGATAAGACGAGCACAATTTGTTGCGCCTGCACCTGTTCCTTAACCGCGAAATATCGTAAGCAAACGCACGGGACCCTCCTCACCTGCGGCCTCGTTACGCTACATCGCAGTTCAGCTCGCAAAAACATCGATTTTCTCAAAGGTCCTGAGACACACCCGTGTGTTTTCCATCCCCGCGAGTTAATTACGCGGAAACGGCATAAACGTCCGCGTTTTACTCGCGTCCTACAGCCGCGCACCGAACTTACTTTAATCGAAGTACCTACCCATGAAGTCCCGACGAACTACGCGACTCCGCGTTCCCCATTCAAACCTTAAAAGTAATGGTTTATTCTTTATTCGCGCTCGAAAATTAGTTCTCTAAGAATAATATTTTGACGCGGAAAACAAGAATAAAAAATCGTGAACGATCTCGCCAGAATCGAGGGAATTAAAAGGATGAAACATATGTATCTCGGAATTGGAAAACGTTCCTTTTGAGAGACAGTCGTGTCTGAATATTTAAATTACTGAAAGATTTAAAATTTTTTATTTACAAACATAATTTACATTGTCTCGCTCTTTCCTTTGCCGCCCGATTATTTTTCTCATTTGCGCAAAATGTCCACGCAATGTTAATTAAATTTGCGGTGATCGCGAGACTAAGGCGAAACTTTTCCGGCATCAGGTCCGATAATCACTGCGATTGTAGTGTCGACAATAAGCCGTCGGAGCCGGGTCATCCGGAGGTGCAGGTTCGCGCTCAGCATATGTTACACCGGTTGCCGCGGCGTGCATCCTTGCCGTGGACCACAGTACGGCGAAATTTGCCTGCTATTAGTATCACCACGCTGAAGTGAATACTAAATACGTCGTTTAGCCGAGACCGATGCAACGCGACGGCCGAGGGCGAGGTGAGACGCTTCGCTCGGTTCGCCGGTAGTGCTTCCGCAACCAACAACGTCCATTTTACGATCATCCTCTCGAGCGCTTTCGTCAAGAAATATATGCAACAATTTCATATGTGTCGGCCGTTTGCGTCCGTTTTCCTCGGCAGACACATATAATCTAGGATTTCTTTGACCCGCTGATAACCGTGTTTTAAAAGTGGTTGCAGGTAGAAAATTAATATCAAGTTTTTGCTTTATTGAAGAAACGAAATTTGATTGTTAATTATTACAACCTTTCACTTCAGTAATTTCGGAAGGAAAATTCGGGCGTATGATTCTTCAAACTACGGCTATAAGAGCAATTCTCGACAAACTACTGCTATTTCCTACTTGAAATGATTCTCCTGTTTTAATATGTGCATAAATCACGAGAGAAGACCTAAAGAAGACAAACGCGTGTGTTCCGTAACTGGCTCAATATTAAACGCGCGGCTAAATTCGACATTACGTTTAATGATCCGCGGAACGACGGCGCGGCCGGCCGTTCGGCAGAAGTCGCAGGCGGATGCCGTCATCTCGTAACATCAGCGGGGAGCAGGGAGGGGAATCGGTTTCCGGACGAAATTCATCTTAAAGTCCGGAATCGCAATTCGTAATGAGGGAATTTGAATACTAACGGGATCGCGCGCGGTGCGCGGCATGCGCGCCTAAGGAAAACATAATTGTATATTCCGCGCTATATCGGCGGAACGGCGCGCGGCGCGGGCGTACCATCTATATTAAATCTTACCGTGAGACTTCTGGTTCGGGGCGCTTCCTGCAAATGGCTCCCGAATTATAATGTTCTTGCCGTCTTCCCGGCGCCAGGATACGCGCGGCTCGGGAACGCCTCTCGCCCGGCACGTTAACTTCACCTGTACGTGTTATGAAACCGGAATTATAAAGAGAAGCGAGTTCGTTATTGCACTCCACTAATGCCGTGCTTCATCCAAATATATTTGGAGGAATAAAGGAGAGAGAGAGAGGGGGGGGAAGAGAGCAAGAAACGCACGCGGGACCCCCGTCTCTATGTAAAACACGTACGCGCGCAAGGACGCTTGTCCGGAACAATGGTGGCTTGCGCGCGGATACTCGAAGCGGAAAACGAATCTACGATCGCGAGGGGCATGAAATATCCAGCATCGACCGGGACGTCGCGTCGGACGATTTTTAACGGTTACCTGCTTCGTTGCGCTCGCGCGGTCAATTTTATCGAACCTCCTCCAATTCTCGTTAACGGGAGGTTTAATTTAGCGATATTTTCGCTTCTGGGTGGGCTTTAATAATCCAAACGATCCGCGAAGCTATTTTTGGTTCCGAACGGGGTCAGACACGATCAAATCAAGTCGATTTTCATAATTTCTCGCTCTAGCGTGTCTCTGCATTCGCAGCCATCAATTATGAATATCGGCTTGATTTTCATCGGTTACATTGTTATGGATACTCGAAACGAACGGGGCAGCGAATGGGGCTACGCGAGTTGCGAAACGTAACGCGAAATGAATATCTGTGTGTTCTACAATGGAAAATATAAACGGCATGTTGACAATTAACGACACGACACGTGTCGCAGCATACTGCGCTGTTTGTTTGCTTGTGTTCCACTGACACGTCACCTGCTAGCTTGCAATATCTGTGACATTTTTGGATGAACATCGTGTTAGCACGATCCCGAGGTGCAACGTAAGTTATTGCATGTCATGTATTTTGCGTAACTACCTTCAAAAAAATATAAAATAAGACGCGACTCTTTTAACTTTTCGAAACTGCTTTTTCAGCGCTTAAAATTTATCGACGCTTAATGTGTATATGATAACTAAAAATACTGACATATGTATAAATTTCTGATCTTATGTCCTACAACAATATTATTTATTGAAAAATATTCCCAGAAAAGTGAAAAATTAACAGACGAATAAAATAAACACAAATTCATTAACATGTTATTAACTCATTTATTTAATATTGTATTATCAATAATAGAGTACGTGACCTGGTAAAGTTTCAAATATTACTAATGTCATCGAGACGTGGATGTAAATTAATACGATATGTCGATTTCAACCAGATTTTTGAAATTAAATATGCATATATCATATTTTCGAGAAATAAACGAATGTATTGATTGAAAATATATCGAAAGCATATATTTATAATTCGAGAGAAGCGTACAATCTCAGCAAAACATTAAACATTCTTTGGGAAGTATTACCCCCGGGAGAGTTTGGAGAAGCTTATGCGAAGAGGGAACTTCACGTTTTGCCATCAGGAGTCCTATCAATTTTAAATCAAGACCGCAACTAGGCCGAGGATAGATGTTCTAAATGCGATATCGCTTATTGCTAGAAGAAAATGAGTTTAAAAATTAAAATTCTTTATATTGACATTTGTCCAAGTATAACGTGAAAACGTTATGGAACGAAATTCGAACACCGAAAATCTCTGCGAGGGTCGATTTTTTTGAATTTTTTTAAATATTTTACGACAATTTGGCGAACACACGAGAGACACGTCGTTAATAATAATAGTTATGGTCTGAACAAAATTATTTATTTATCTCGCTAGCGGCTAGAGAGAGATTCGACTTCCACTATCAGAAAACGGGCGGACAACCGGAAAACCAATCCTCGATTGGAGTTTAAATTTTTTATCAACTTTGTTTAACGCGTCAGGTTAATGGAAGCTTTAGTTTTTTTTTTTACAATTGTGCTCTGACGACTATAATAGCCGTGCTTTGGATCTGCTGCTGTCAGACATCGTATTTATTAGTCACATTAAAGTTGTCACATTAAAGGGTTACATACGCTTGGCAGGCCTAAAACTAGGTCGAAATTAACGAATTTTTATTGTGGTAAAATTATTTTACCTCAATTTTTGATATTTTTTATTGAATTTTTTGACAGATATTCTCAAAAACTCTACAAGACATGTATTTTCATTTTTTAATATAACATAATTTTACCTACAATAAAAATTCGTTAATTTTGACTTAGTTTTAAGGCCTGTCAAACGTATGTTACCCCTTAAGGGCGAATGTGTGATTTGAGGCAGAAATTGTTCAATTGATTAAATGAAATTGCTTTACACGCTGAGATATTTCTTTCAATATGTTTACTAATACTTTTTCAATACACCATATATACAAGATATTTTAAAACAATTAGTTCGAAATAACAAAATTTTGTGGTCAATTTCTCTCTAGCAAACTTGAGGAAGGTTTCCGCTTATATTGCAACTTTCCAATCTTTTGAATCATTTATTTTTATGTGGCTACGCCTCGAATTAAAATTCTCTTAAAGTAAACTCTATTCAAAGTTAACTGAAGAACGTAATTTTGTTGTTTACTTGACGTTAGTACGCAAAAAAAGTTTTTTTTTTCACTCTCTTATATAATTTGGATGCCTCGACATTTTCGTTAAGGAAAAATTGATCTTAAGTTGGTTAAACGAATCTGTCATTAACAGTACATTTGGAGATTTAGAGACTCATTGAATAAAAACGTTTTAGTCAGTACAAGTTAATATATAATTTACGTCCTTAAAAGATATTTTACAGAAATGAGCAAAGACTGAAGTTTCATTGTAAGTCAAAACTTGTGATTATATAATTTCTCAAGTACATAAATTATATCTATCAAATACGTACAATTTCGTTGCTAACAAAAATGGTACGATACAATACTTAGACATGTGTCCCGACAAACTCGTCAAAAGAGATGGAAAGTAACTTATCAAACTGACAGTCGTACAATTTTCAGTATACCAACTGCGGTAGCTTTATAATAGGGGGAAACTCGCTATGCGCCGGTATAATTTCAAAGTTTAAAATGGTCCACGATGGTGGAGCTCCGTAGAGCTGTCGCATCTTCGTAAAAGCGTCCTGTCAGACGTTCCGAGGGAAGCGCAATATTCTTTACCCGAGCGACACCGGCGCGGCGGCCATGCGCGCGGAAAAACGCGAGGATGAGATGAGGTATTCGCACAAATTGCGCGACTGCCACGGAATATGAATTGTGAGCAACAGGTCACTTATTTTCACTGATAGCTTACTTACAGCATCCGGGCGTGAATCAAGACCGGCCCGTAAAACACGCGTGTGCCAGATTACATTCTCACAAATTAATTGCGCGAAAGATTGTCGGATTAAATGAATTACTTACGAGTGATTAGGCTCAAAATCTATTACCTACTTTTATATATGCACGGTTATACTTTTTTCCTCGAAGAGCAGGTTTTCATCCTTCAAACAGTGTGTGTGCCTTTTTCAGCTCTAATTGTAAGATACGTGAGATTATAAAGCTAAAATTAAAGTTATTAATAACAGAAAGACATTTAGTAATAATTACGGGTTGGGTTTTATGACAGCGTGATGTTCAAATAGCACTTGCAACAGGTGTTGCAAGTTGCAGTTACGAAATCGCTATGACATTATGAAGCGTGCTGCAACATTGTAACCATTTTTTATATTAATTGAAGTTCCAGTTGACACGTTTCTAAATATGACAACTTGTTTTATATACGTCAGTGTACAGATGAGAGGCAAATACATTCAAACTCAAAATTAATAGTATTTTTAATTTGATATTCCTATCTGATCATAAACTTCTTGGGGGATTTAAGCAATTTACTAGTAATTTCCTAATTAAGGTTTTATTAATGATGATGAAGTTGCAAGGTTATTTGTAGATTCAGACGCGAGCCGTTGCACACTCGTGGCGCACTGCCGTTTTCCGATATAGATTTCCCCGACATGAATCACGCGGAATATAACGTTGGCCCGATAATTTACTGCACACGTAAATCAGCACATTTGTAAGCAATAAACCGTCGTTTATTCATGACGGCTTCTGTGTAGAGTAAATTATTTAACGACCCCCGGCCTAGTCGCTCCATAGAGCATCTTTCCTCTAGCATATTTATTTGTAAATTTATCTCCGCATGCAGATGGAATCTTGATTGAGACGAAAATTAATTTCGATTAAAAAGAACATTTAATCGTATTTCAAAGAACGGTAATGTAAATTGTAAAAGAGGATTGTTTTTTTATTGCTAGAAAAATTATCCTTAAGCCCTTAAGCCTTTAAGATGTTATTAATTAAAAGCTTTCTCTTGATAACTATGAACCAAAATTATGGAACGACGTAAAATAAAGGGAGATATTTACCTGGCCGCCCTCGCCTACCATCATGTCGCTCGATGTAGCTTCAGGATCGAAATCAGGTGGCACAACAATAGACAGCATACCTGTCTGGAGAAAATAGATCAGCGTTAATAAATAAATATCATGATTTAAGTTCAGCAAGTATAATAGTTAATTGAAGCTTGTTTTATTAATAATAGAGTTTTTGCAATACCGTCTTTCAGATATGGTGAACGTATTTGAATTATAGATACGTTCACCGTCTAAATTCACATTGTCGGTCGAAAGGCGAAACTTCGTGCACATCGTTCACCGTAACGTTATTTAGATAACGTTCGACGTTATTTTTGAGAGAATAAGGTTTATGATTACTGTAACGAAATCCCTAATGTAAATTTAGACGGTGAGCGTATCTATATAATTCAAATACATTTACCGTATCTAAAAGACGACAAAAACTCCCTTATATTTCTATTTCATTTAATTAAAGCTATAATTGTAATTCTATTTCCCTTCTATTATTTCATTTGTTCAATTATTACATTTGAAAACTCGCATTTATATTATATTTAATATGAATATGTAACAATTTTTTTCATTATAGGTGTACCATAATCCTGAAAGTACAAGTGGGACTATTATTAAAGCCTGAATATTACGACTCATCTACGGTAAGTTTTTTTTTGCAACTGGCTGCGCTCATTTTAATTAACACATATGCGAAATTCACGATGATGAGACGAGAGGAAACACGACACGGTCAAGGCTGTAATTTCTGCATAAATTATTTCCTGCAAAACCGTAATACGCGCTTCATCTCGAGGTATAGATATTTTTTCCACCATATATGGCATCACGAATGTGATTCATCCGATATGCAGCGTTGATAACAACAAGCGAATCAAATGCAATGGCATAGAGCTCGCTTTATTTCCCTTGTCGCGGCCTACAGTGCTCCTATGGTGATAATATTTGGGATAACTAGTTTTTATTCGCGGCAGATAGACGCGAAATAAAATTGCGAAATTAATGAGAACAAACGGATCTCTGTCGGTCGGACTTTTTGAGATTAATTGAATAATTGCACGTGGGAAAAACATCACGAAGCCACCAACTTTTTAGATGCGATTCTGGATGTAACAAGCAATTTACCCGAGGCAGTTTATTTATATATCGTCGGCTTTTTCCTCCTTTTCGTAAATTAAAGTAGACTACAAAGTACAGAGCCATAAGGCAGAGTCGAATAACACGAACGTCCCTAAATCTCACAAGCATCTTGCTCTATATTTAGCTCGACGCCGGTAACATATTATGGCCGTACAACCTGCTGCTGTTGCCAGTACGGATGTCGGTGTATGTCGCCGGTTATTCGTTAATTAACGGCGCACGGTAGCACCAAATATCATAACTAACAGTCGGCGCGATCATTATTGCCCGCCGCGGCCGCCGCGAAGCCTAACAATCACGCACATGAGTTATCGTTACACGTGAGTCACGCGTGTTCAAAAATCGCGTCTGTTTAATCTACTCGTTTAACTAAATAAAAAGAAAATCGTTTTTGCATATCGAATATCATATGCCGATTAATGTGCTTCCACGTATTCATTTGGTTTTAATATAAAAATATATTTTTGATGTAATAATAAAAGAATTAAATATACACTTTTATTCTTTTTTGTAATTGTGTGTGAGGCTACAAATAATATAATTCTTTATTGAAGAGAATTTATTAATAATTTCGATGAGTTCGAAAGATGACTCTTGATTTTAAGTTGCTGAAAAATCTATAATCTGTTTTAATTACGCCGTGTGCAACAGTTTTCACAAGTCATTGTTCAGAGGTAACCAGGTTAACACCTGATGGCGTCAAAATGCTGGATGTACGGCGCATTTTCTCATACGGTGCAGTAAAATAATCCTTCGCGACAAAGCGCTTCGCAGTAACTACGCATTTGACGCTTATCAGCACGCGGAGGCGCTATCGCGTTATAATTCCCAAGCGAGGAATGAAGACAGCGGAGCGCACGACAGAATCGAGGAGGTGGATCAACCTCGAATGTCTGGCGTCGGGAACTTTTGTCGGTAGTCGTACGTCAAGCCGCGAGACGTCAGTACGAGTGCAAAGACCTCCTTCCCCGTCTCTCCACCGCTCCCTCATATCCTCCGTCGTACTTCCCCTCAATTCTCCTTTCACTCCCTCGATTTAAAGGAAGTCCCTCTCACACGACGCCGCTTCCCTCCCTCTCCCTCCTCCCGTCCTCACGTAAGACGCGAAGGCGCGAGGTGTGCGCGCAATTACGAGGATGTAATCCACGCCACGACGAAACTTCAATCGTTATAACCGAGTTGTCTGGCAAGCCGCCGTCGTTGCACCGTGCCGCTCGAGAAACAGTCCCCGACGAATGCAAACTGCGTACCTTACCCACCTAACGCGACGACGACGATGACGAGCGCGGCGAGACACGTGCCCGAGCGCGTAAACTCGTACGTGTCGCCACTGAATTATGAAACTCCCTTCCTCCACATCCGCGCGCGCCGTAAATTAATTATTATGCGCCTGCGAATGACTGTATCAGTCCGCGTCGCAATTCGGTGAATAAACCCGCGTCCCGTTGATCGGTCAATCTCTGCTTCCCAGAACCAATGATAGCTGCATCTATCCATAGATATAGCGTTATCCGTTAAGTCTGTTTTCCGCGATTTTCTCTTCCTGGACAATGTGTGTTATTGTAGTACACAGAAGCGTAATTTATATTATATAAAATAAACATAAATAATTTTCATGCTTGTAACGATCGTAACTAATACATCAGAAACAGTAGCGTTATTAATACAATATTGAAGATAAAAGCACAGGAATAAAATGAGAAATATGGAGAATTATATTTTAATAATAATATAAAAATTATGGACAGTGTGCAGAATTATCTCGATTCATAGAGTGTATCATAGGGCAAACGCATCTGCAAAGAACACGTTCGTGGAAACTCATTATCGCTCGTTAGCCAGATTCGAACCGCAGGATCATTATTAACCCATATGTATGCGCACAGTTCCATTCAACATAATCAGGCATGTAGTATAATTGAGAAACCACACATTGTTTAGTAATAGTTAGTAGTATAAGCTCGAATAAAACGCGCATTTACGTTCTTCTTAGTGTCTATAAAATACTATGTTGGAAAATATATAATGCGTTAAGAAAAATATCTTTACCTTTTCCGGATATAATAATAATAGTAAAAACCCGTAATAAAAATCGTAATAAAAATCGATGATGAAAATTATGAATAAAAATTATGAACGATTTTAATTAAGCACTCGTAGTGTAATGATATGATAAGATATAATAAACGAGATAATGTTAATTTAAATTAATTTTGTCGTGATTAATTTTAAATAAAGAGGAATAAATATCAAATGAACAAAATTCACGAATTTGTCCTAAAATGTTTCAAGGGCAATGAAACATTTATGAGAAACGCACACACACACACACACACACACAATATTTTCGTGAGATTCGATTCAATTATCCGACTAAATCAGTGCGTTTCCGTCGCGTTGGAATTATGTAGACGGCTTTGAAGAAGTGACGCGAAATTTCAAGAAAGACGACGCACATGCCGACGCGCAAGCCGACGCCTTGCCATACGTACACGTAAATTTTATCAGACACGCAGTCGGAATTATAAGCGACGCGCGAAGGGTGCCACCGTATTCGGCAACGAGGAAATATAGTTACGAGAGGCGAGACGGCATCCTTTGCGGAGAGCGACGCTCGTGTTTTAACTATTGATGTATAATACATGCGCGCCAGAATGAGGAAGAAAGAAACGGCAATCTGAAATAGAGGAAAAGCTATTATGGAGGAAATATTTGTCTACGTATATAAGGCAAGGTCGATCATCGGCTAAGTTTTAGTATATAATCCTAATGATACATGAGGAAAAATTTTGACGTTTATTTTCAAAGCGTTTATCTTTTTTCTAAACTGCAGTCTATAGGTCAAATTTTTGTATTATAAAATAATAATAAAATTTTCATACTATAAGGTAATAATAGAAATATTTATGAGTATCTATATAACAAATTTAATATAATAAAATATGACATAACACAACAATTATATAAGGGTGATTCTAGTAATTGAGTTATAACTATTAAAATAGAAAAAATTCAAGATAGAAAAAAATGAATAGAAGAAAATTTTTCATTGCTTAACGCGATCTATTATTCAAAGATTATAGTATAATTTATTTTCATGATGTGTTAAGATTATGTATTATATAATATAATTACTATAATATATTCTACATCGTTATTCTTCGCGTATTTCACTTATTGTTAGTCAGAAAATCTGTATGTCGACTTCGTTTCCTGTCGGATTTGTCGAAGAATGCCCCGACAAAATCACTATAGTCTTACCGCTCGCGGCGAATCATGTCTGTTTCGGAAGGCAAGGAGAGAGTAACGTGAAACAGACAAAAACACGACGCAAGATGAGAAACGAGGGAGAAGAAATGAGATATCACCAATAGATAATAAGATAATGATAATCACAGAATTCAACCAACTAGAAGGTAGATTCGATTGTGGAACAAGATATGCAGCATCTTAATACAAAATGATTTCACGTTGCTCCAAAAACCTATTTCCAAAAGGTACATTTTTCATCTTTTGCATATCTTACGCCTCCTGTCTTACAGCTTATTTTGATCTTACATTCATTCTTTCCTCGAACGATTGGCCGAAAGATCGTCGAACGATTGGCCGGGGCATTCAACGGTGTTGCTCGCAGAGCATTCGTTATTTAGCTTAGTGCCTCGTAAAGTAAGAACGACAAGAGAGATCGGAGAGTAGGCACCTGCTGCCGTCTCACAAGCCAGTATGCAGCCATCGCTATGTTACGCTCCGCGCACTATTTAAGATTACAGCCTTCTTCCTCCGCGAAAAGAGGGAAACTCCGGTTGGCACGGGGCGGGGCTCGAGCGAATTCAATCCGAAATGTCGGAAAATTAGATCTCGACTTCCAGTGGCGTCTCGTACCCGTATCACTTTGCCGGCAAGAGAGGCGGATGAGGTGTTACTTTAAAGCAACCAGACAACCGCGGTCGACTCCGGTCTCCCGGTAAGACAACGCAAATGTTATCCGAGGGAACGAGCGAGGAGTGGCGCGCGTTAACTAAAGTGGCTCGTTAAGCGTCTTTTGCACCGCGAGAAAAATCTCTGCGGCTTTACGCTCGTAAAGCTTGTAATTTTTACGCGACTAATTACCGTCTAACTGTGCGCAGTATCGCGCGCATTTAAAAGAGGAGCGTGCAAATTTTGAAGACTCGGTTGTTGTCACGTTGTTGTTTGTTACACTCTAATAAATTTGTGTGCCATTATATAGAAAAAATATAAATGGAGACCTCGGTCCGGTAATTAATCTTTTGGCGATTTTTCAACAATCGCGTCACATAAAAGTCGACTTCGGAGCGGAGCAAGAGGAGGCGATCTTTGCATTCTTATCGGCGATTACTATGCCGTTCGCGTATATAATAGTCGTTAAACGCGACTTAATATTCCAATCCTTTTCTGATAAGACTATATACGCAGCCGTAACTCGAAATAGGTCGGCAGGTAGGGATGGAGGAGGATTTAAGCGCTACTTGAGGCGATGTTCATAAACGGGTACCCGAACTGACGAGGACGGCTCGTTAAGTTCCCGGGCTCGTTAAGTATGCCGCGGGTCTTGCGCCAGCCGTGCGCACGCGGAGGGCGAAATGCCTTCGATACTTGTACAGATTGTTATGTCGGCAGCAGCTAATACTCGACGGCAGCTCGACGGTAGACGGTTAATATCCCTGCGGTTTGCTATCGCGCGTCACCGACGACGATTACAGGCGGCGGAAAGTATCGAGATGTGTAAACGAGGCTGTGCAGCGATTGTCGCTATTTCCCGTGTTTGAGCGCTTTAGAGATCTCTCTTCTTTTCCTCTGCTCCGTTTACATCTCTCTCGCGCTCGATCTCTCACTTTCTCGCTTTCACGTCGCTCGAATGTTTCACCGGAAACATGAGTACGATCATGATGCGCGATGTTTATCGTGGATAAACCGATAAACCAGTAAACTTGGTTAAATTTTATTAAACCCAAGATTACATTTATCGGCTAGCCATTGTGTTACGTTTGTAGTAGATTATGTGGTTTCGAAATACATCTAGTTGATTAATATTTCTCTGTCGACGATTAAAATTTTGAATTTTAGGTCTTTCTGGGAAGTATCTGGTCATCGTGATTTGAAAGCTAATAAATTTATAGTGAAAGAGAGATTTTCTTCGCTTTATTAACGAGGCAATGTAGTCCTCGAAAGATATTCCTGATTTCCTATGTTCTAATGTGAATACGATCGCGCGTATTACACCAATGGATTATGTTAATGATAGTTAGCAAACTGAGGCCGGGATGATTAATTGCGTGAGCCAAGTGGGACGCGGTCCGATTGTAACTGAGCAACTATCGATTAACTCGGGTGCATCTTGGCACTTTATCGATGCGGGCATCACCGGCAGCGGGGTCGCTCGATTAATTGTTTCACTCGCAGTTCGCAAACTTATCGCAACCGATTTTCGCGGCGTTTACCGCGAATGCAAAAAAGATCAGCGATATTGGCGTTTACGTCGACAGATATAAATTCTGTCTCATTTATTTTACAAAAATTTTCAAGATTCAGCGTTGAAAAATCGTGAAAATATCATGTGTATCGAACTTCTATTAAGAGACAAACCGATTTCAGGAAATCGAAGCATCTATAAATAAATGTAGGCAAATATTCTATGTATTTTTAAGCAGAATTCTTATAAAGATCTTAATTTATTTCTTATGATTGATTGAGAGGTCGTTTATGACACACAGAACTATTTTTCTTTTCAGATTATTCTGAAAATAGCAAGCGCTAAAGATACGATTCACATTCGTTGGTTATTTTATGAACTAAATCTCTATTGGAAAACGGTTATCCTTCGCGAAGTTAAGTTCAGGCAAGAACACGAGAAGTCGCGTAAAATCGATTGTCGTGGAACAGCGTAGAATATTTATTTACGCACATTACTATCATTTTATTGGATATATTTTATTGGTGATATATATACGCGTCGCAGAGAGAGTAATATTACGATATGTTACTTCATCAAATTACTTCAGCGAATATTTTATGGGTTTTTATTAAATAAAAGTTGTGTATCAAACTTATCATATTTTTGTCGAATCCGTGCGCATTTTTCATATTAAAATTAAAATAAATCTAGTACGATTTATAACTGAAACTTAATGCAATAGTAAATATATATAATATAATTTGGTCCATCTATGACATAGATTATGCCCAAACGCACTAAATGAAATCTTCGTAACATGTTTACGTAACATATGCATATAACATTAGCAGATAAAATATGTAATAAAATATACATAATGTGAGAGACGAATTTACCTCGTCGAAACCGTGTGACCTTTCGTTCGTTGACAAACCGGGGTCTCCATGTTTTATCGACCTGAATACAGTCGATAGGGCCGTCCCAATTAGTTATTTCACCGAGTTTGTTGGTTTACCACAGCTAATTTCAAACAAGGATTATATGTATCCAGGCTTACAACACCGAGGCGAAGTATCGTGATCAGTATAAATAGAAAACGTATTAAGTGTAATGTGAAAAAGTGCAAATAACTTTTTACTAAATTAAGCTTTTAATTTAATTAAGTTATTACCATTAGCTGTAGAATACCTAATATCTGAAGAATTGTAGAATTTTTTTCCAATAAATTTCATTTATCATAATTTAAATCTTTTGCAATCACTGACAAATGTTTAACGAAATTTAGTCGGTTTTTTTTTCGGAGAATTCTAAAGAAGCCGCTTTAGCCGTTTCAGTTAGACGAGGAGCGAAGGAGGAGCGTAACTACCGAAAATGCTCGAAGCGCGGCGAATAGACCGCCGTTTCCGCGCCTAAGTAAATTCCGCGCGTTCCTTCCGTGGCTTCGCGCATTTCTAAAACGGCGCCGAACTGCTATTAGAAGCGTTCTCCTGAGAACTTCCTAACGATACTTCCACCGCACCGTTGCCGCCGCGATGTCGTCGCTCTCTCGCATGCCCCGCGATCGCTCCCGCGAAACTTGTGCCTCGTTAGATTTACCCCGCTGCTGGCCGGTATTAACACCGCCGACGAGCGTTAAGGCGACGGCTAGGAACGCGCTAGAAATGGACGTCCCAATTCCGAACGAATGGCGGAAAGTTCGTAATTGAAGCACACATATGGCATTGGAAAAACTTTCGACGGAACCGGTTGTTAATTCACGGGGCAATATGTCGGTAGTCACTCACGAGTAAATCGATAATGTCGTTATATCGTCGGACAATCTGAAAAAGAAGCTCTTTCAATCATGTTTACAAAATACAATAAATAAACGACTCAATGGAAGGCATTGTTCGGGGATGAAGGAAGCAGGAGAGGAGGAGCGGTTCTTTGAATTGGTCGAATTTCCATGCATGGAAATATGTGGGCAGATATTGATGATCACTCTCCATATAATAGAGCTCTGTATTACCTAATTTAAAGGACTTTAGTGCGGTATATACCTGACTCTTCATAGGATCCGTATTGATTTGACACATATAAAGGCCGCCGTCCTCTTTCTGCACGCCCTTGATGTGCAGGTTCCATATAGAGTGGTCGCTATGGGACACGGACACCCTCTGGTTGTGCGTGATCACGTGATCGTGTATCGCCTGGATCGCCTTCGTGTCCGCCTTTACCCAACCGACCTGGAACATCAATCGCCGGATCGGGGCCTTAATAGGCGATGGAGACGACGCCGACGGTGAGAACGTATATACGGGGGGAGACGCGCGCGGAGTCGGTGCCGGAAATCGCGGTGACGGCGTCGCGGATTTCGCCGAAGACGCCGCAATTTCCTCACAGGCATCCGACTGCGGAATACAAACAGATGTAGGGGATGTCTGCCCCGTGGTGTGCATGCATACACACATACGTATACGCGCGCACACACGGATTGACACGCGTGATTCCCCTTGGCCAAACTTCCAGTCGGTATTTGCATTTTCCTTAGAATATTCCGAATCGTGGAGCGAGGAGCTCTCGCGATTTCACGCGGAACGAGCACACGCGAGCGCACGCACCATACACCCACATCTGCAATTACGTTACGTACGTGCCCATTTCAATCAAATAGAAAAAGGCAAGATGCAAAGGCAGCCGCCCGATCGCGGCTTTGTCATTATTCTCGATGTGATGTGTATTCGCGCGATATTCCGCGATTGCGAGGATATCGTTGCACGTTCGTCATCCACGAGAAGGATATTCGTGATCGTCTATGAGAACTTCACGTTTTTCTTTCATGAGAGATTCATCGATTTTAATTACAATTATCAAAGATTGTTCAGCAGATATCACAGTTGCTTGATTTAGAATCGTTTAAAGAAGCATCGATAAAACGGGGACGCTTGCGAGTCAGTCACTCCTCGGATTTGACTTTCAGATTCCTTTAGGAAGTGAATTATATAAATGGAGAGACTTCCCCCTCCTCGTCTTCGGGGCTACGTCCGGTAACGACAGATTTTCAGCGCGTTACGATTGCGCTTCACATAAATTTAATTATTATGATTTTCCGTTTAGAAGCCTCGTTTTAATTTGACCGATATGAGCCCGTTGACGTTTATTTGCACGTAATCGACGGTCCTCATTGTTCCGCGCGATTAAATAAACGGTAATAATAATTGCGCAATATGTGACGCGCAATGAAGATCGGAAAACGGAAATACGGTCGAATGAATTCGAGAATAGAATATATATTACGCGTTCAGATATGTTGATATTTCGCTTCTACTTCGCCGAACTGCCGGTGGAGATTCGGATCGATGTGAAACGTAATCGCGTATTCCATTCTACAGTTTACAATTTCGTCGGACGTCAGATATGGATAGCGGAGCCCCAGTCTACACATCTGAGCGTATCTGACCGACTGCGAGCAAATAGTACGTCGGCTGGAGAAGCAACTGGTTATACCGTAATGTAGTTGCGGGTTATACTGGTTCTCGCTCTGCGGCGTAATGCAATTTGCAAGAGCGCAAAGATAAACGATAATGCGTGAAAAAGATCCCACTATACGGTGGTGCATATAAAGTTATTATTAAATTCCACCAAAGGGAAAACGTGAATTTGCAACAAAATTTAAAAGCGTTATGTTAGTCCGCTATAAATCGTGCTTGCGATCGATAACGAAGTTCCGTGATACAAAATCAGCTTCGCGAAAAATTTGTTAATCCGTTGAAAAGAAACCGTCGAGTCGCTCGTATCATCTTACGGACACGTGTATCGGTAAAACTTCTCTCTGTAGTCAGACTAAAAGAGGAAAAGTCGAGTCAAAGTGTGCGGAAAAATTCCTTTCTTCTTCTTTTCGCTTTTAAGTGAGAATTTTTGCAGATATAACAGGATCGACTTCTGCGTCCGTCCGTGAAAATCGTATAGATAGATTATTTAAAGCGCTAAATGTCTTTTCCGTGTACTTATCGAGGATTTTTTTTCTCATTGCGGATCTCTGCTTTCATTTTGCAGAAAGTAAAAACTAATTTCCGGACTAGATATATCAATTCTTCTTTACATCACGAATATCGAGATGGATAAATGTATAAATGTAAATGTGTCTATCAATATGCAACGATTCGAACAATATGTGATTATGTTGCCTTTTATCTCGCTTGTTTGCTTTTGTCAGATTTTTGTAGTGGTTATCGGACCGTGTCAACATTATAACGCTAACACACCTCGAATAAATGCAAAATGTTCGCAATGTGTTCGCCGCGCAGAAGTTTAACCTGGTGGGAGAGATATGACTTTTTAAAGGCGCGCCTCCTCTTTCAGAAGTTAAGTGAGACCCCGAGAAGTTAAGCGAGCGTTACGACATCACAGACACGCTGTCGCTTTTCATGCAACGTACCCTGTAACCACCTAGATGTTTCACCAGACACGTGAAAGTGGCGTCCCTCCCGAGTGCCACAGTTTGATTGGTGATAGGGCCGGAGAATTCGGGTTGAAAAGCGCCGCCTGAAACGATAAAATACGTACGACGTTTCGTGAAAAATACATACGCCATTTGCATACCGCGCACCGCCGGCAATTTTTCGACAGCGACGTCAATTCGCCGTCGTACACAGAATGCACTTTATGCGAAAGCGAATAAACGTCAGAAGGTTGAATGCTACGCGACTAGGCGAGACGCGCGTCGGAGATGCGTCTCGCGACTGCAAATTAAACGCGTAGACGTGACGTCGAATTAGCGGAGAATCGCTGTCGTATATGCACCATGCACTTATATTAGGCAAACTTCCATATTCACGAGCAACATTGATCGATGCTAGATGATCTTCATGTTTGTCTGCTCTCCGATAATTATTGATAAATTCACAAAAATGTTTTAGAAAGAAAGAACTGTCGCGCACAATTATCTTTTCATGCTAATGCACGTTTTTATTGAAAATAGAAATGCAATTGATCGGATTTGTAGGACTGTAATGCATTATTGAAATAAAAGTAATTTTTATACAAATTTTGTTTTGTCTACGTTAGGTTGATGATAATAATATAGATATAAATATATAAAATAAAACAATATCGATAAATGTATAAAATTATATTAAAAGTAGTATAAATGAAATTATATTGTTTTCGCCAATTTTACTTATATATAGACAGAACAAAATTTGTAAAAATTACTTCTATTTAGTATAATTTAATGTAATTTTCAAAGTAAACATATTAAAAATTAAAACTTAAAGAGAACGATTTTAACACAGAATCATTTTAAATCAACTTATTTCGTGACAACGTAATTTGTGCGGTGCATATCGCAAACGTACACACCGTTTCATTATCCATTATCTTCCTAATGTGAAATTATGCGTGCAACGCACGCAACTGCCATAAATATCGCATCATGCACGATTATAGCTAACGCGCCATTCTATATGTACAGAATACATATCTCCTTTTACTTTCTCATATTTTTCACATATTCCCGGATTATTTCGCAGCTGCACTATGAATAATAGCGCTACACAGACGATAGCGTTCGATTTGATATGACGGCCGCGTAAAATAAGGCGAAACACGATGCGTAACGTATAAATTGCTTCCCCGCCGCGAGATATAGAGATCGAGGATACAGAATGCGCGAAGAATGAGTGGAAGATGTACTTGGTTCAATATGTTCTGTAAAAGTTTGCTCAAATTCCGCGTTTTCTTTCCTCTTGGCGCTGCGCCGTTTATCTGACGATAATTTATGCACGCGAGTTATATACGCGAAACCCAAATAGTTCGCCTAAATGGAAATTTGAGCGTAACGTCGAATGATTTTTATATCCCGCCCATAAACTAAATGCCGCTCGACAACTCGCGCCGAGTGAATTGAATTAATCTTGTAATCGGCAGCTGAGTATCGCGTCGAGATGGTTATCCCGTAGTTTACAGAATGATGACGTAAATGTTGATTGAATCGATCACAGAGAGAGAGAGAGAGAGAGAGAGAGAGAGAGAGAGAGAGAGAGAGAGAGAGAGAGAGAGAGAGGGGGGGGAGCCGACGAGGAGGGGGAGGAGTGATTCTCTCTCGAATGCATTTTCTCACGCAAATAGATTCTACGCGAGAGCAAATAAGGAGAACTGACTTTTTACTATTGTTTTTATATTTCACGATCCTCGCATAAACAGACTGTTTTGGTACTGGAATTCTGTGTGTCTAGAAACGTATATATAGAAAAATGTACCGTATCAAATGGGCTTCCAACGAGATGCGCGCGCGCCCGATAACATTTTCGTATGAATTTTTGCTAAAAGTATACCGGCAGCAGCATACAACGGAGGGGTAAACAGGACAATGATACTTCTGTAAAAATTTCTGTCCCAACTGCTGCATATAAGCTACTCGATTTCGAGTTTTTTAATATTCTGCAATATCGCGAGGTTTGTCCGAATAGCTCGACGTCATGGAAATGCAATATTGACTTGTTAATTGATTAAATTAAAAGAAATACTCAATATACTCGCCGCAATATAACAGGTACGTTTATTGCGTCTATTACTGCCTTTATTTTTAAAACTAATTTTTTTTTTCGATTTTAATTGTCTTTATTTTAAGAAGGTATGCAAATCACGATTTTCCTTTTTTCATAATAAGTATCAATAAAATCGCATCTTCGGCGCTGATGAGAAGAAACGTGGCGTAATATTATTGGATAGTTTAACAGCAAGGAAATTTGCGATATTGAGTTACGATAATCAGCTTAATCGTCACCTTTTATTACGATTTCCTTCGTTTTAAGCGGACGAAATCGCGTATAATCATTCGACGGATTTAAATAAAGGGAAATTTTCAAAATTAGATCTCTCTAAAATTAGGCATTTTTGAAATTGTTTCCCCACAAGTTGCCGTATCTATGTGGACAGCGAGTTATATGTGAAATTAATTAGAATGCGACAAATGTATGAACTGAAACAATTTCGTTGTAATTCGAGTTATTAATTTTCGATTATCCGATTTCTCATTACCCCGCGCATATAACGATATGTTTGGATGAAACTTGTAACTGTAATAAAAGATCTTTAATTACATTGACATTTGAAATCCATTAAAAAGTGACGTATCGAAAATGACTACGTAAAATAAACGGAAATACAATTTCACATGTTAATAATTTTGATTAATAATCATCTTTTGAAGTAAATTATGACTTTTCGTAATGCTTTCGGATCTAAATGCGACAATTTCTACATAGCCAATGCAATTCGAACGGTAAATATGATTACAAGCGAATATAGAAACGGAGTAATTGCGGAAAATTAAACAGACAAGAGAAAACTCTATAGAAATAGGAAAATTCTACGAACAGAATCTGACGACAGGTAATAATAAAAGAAGCTAATAGAGAGTTTAAAAAAAAAATGAGTCAATGCGATCTATTTATCTTGCAATATAGGAATAATTGGATCAACAAATATTAATAAGAAAGGTCGCGACAATTACGGTGATAACATTTTGTTGCCAACGGCTATGCGAGTTGATACGGACGACAGGACACTATGTTAAAAGTTAAAATATAACTCCGGGATATATAAACCGGGTCGCAGTCATTTGTTTTGCGAAAGTAATGTTTGCAATTAAAGCGCCACATAGTGCAATGCACATTTTAATTATTTTCAAGAAAAGAAATTTTCTTGAAAAACATTATAATGGAGAATAGGTATTGCATTTAAATTTCATTACAAATTTAATTTTTACGCCAAGCGCAGCACATGATTGGACAATTATAGAGGGGTAAGAAAATTAAAAATCTAAACCACGCAAATCGTAGATAGTTGTCAAGCAAAATTCGAAAGTATTAAGAATTCAGATACATATATTGTATCTTTATTTCACGAGCGTTGATGCGTTATTTGGGATTTTTAATCGAGCGTAGATCTAAGTTGTTTTAAAGTACTACCTTAAAGAATACCCAAGAAATTGTCAATAACCTATCCGCATTTTATTAATATTAAAAAGTTGCACCGGCATAAATTACTTATCGCGCGCGTCGTACTCGTCAACATTGCGGCGGAAAGTACACGAGAAACCACGGTTTTCCATCCGGAAACTTTGTTGGAAATTGCGAGTAGCTTATTATCGAACTTCCGTCGGGAAAATAAGTTGTTATGGATATTAAATATCGTAACATTCTTCGACGCGCAGAAATGTATATAGCCCGTAGCCGAATTAGTAGCTTTCGCTTTTCGACATACGATCCCTTTGCAACCCGTAACAAGCAAGCCTTATTAATTCCAGCGCCGTGAACTCTCTGTCGCTATTTCGAGATAATTCGGGTAATTTTCGCGCTGGGGTTTCCCATTCTTCGAGGGCCGTTTTTCGCGTTAATACCGTTACAGTGATAGCTCACTCCGTAAAATGGCGATGCTTTCATTCATTTTTTACTCCCTCTCTCGGAAATTAAATTTCTATTTTTTATATTAAATAGGAAGATACGTAATTAAATTATTTTAATTTGTTGAAACATTATTATATCAATAATATCAGGAAAAAGCTGAAATATATTTTTTTTATCAGTTATTAATAAATATTTGTTAGTTAAATATAATAACTGCAAACGTTTTTAGCGTGTGTAACATGTTTTTTGTGAAATGCATACGCGAGTATAGAAATGCAGATTAAAGGGTTGGAAAATAAACTGACGGCGAGAGAAGGAAAAATAAACTATCGATTACTGCTGATGATTTGAGCAATTTATCTCATAAATAGCATCGCACCGCGCAATTATTTACTCCCTATTGGTCAAGCGTTATTTGACAATAATTTTGCGCATCATTTCGTGCACGCTCACAGCGAGCGATGCAAAAGCGTATTTGATGAAATTCACGCAATACTAATAATCACCTGGAAGAATATTCATTTAGCAATGATTATTAGTTAATGCTTATCAAGCATAATATTTGGATAAATTGTTTTTAATTTCTACATATGTAGAATTTAGAATTTGTTGTTTAATTTATTTTTGTTACATTTATTTCGTAAATTTTATCAAATACAATGATTAATTATAAGATTTGTTAATTCTCTCAACTTTTATTACAAAATATTGCGTACATTTACGCCTAACATATAATATTCAATTTTCCATAAATTAAGGCATATAAAATATTAATTAACGATACGATTTTCGAACCGAATAAAATGTTTAATCAGGTTATCCGTTTAATTAATAAAACAGTAATTTTTATAATAGACTTATGTAATTAATTATCTTAATCTTTTATAGAATTATGTTACGAATATATATGATAGAATAATTTCATATTTTTCCGAGAATTTCCATTTTTTCCCCGAGATTTTTCACGCGCTAGAAATTTATGGCGAATGAACTTCGTATTGCTCGATTCACGCATATCACGCGTGTAATCGTGCATCCGAAGTGTCGACTAAACTACTGCTGCAGTGTATCAATTGAGGTAATATTAACTACACATTTAACTCATCGCGCTAGAATGCACACGCTCTCACTCAT